CTACTAAACACTGAGGTTAAGGCAAAGTACACAGTACCTTTTCACGCTGTGGTTTCAGGGGCTCTTCATCACATTAAATCCAACAGCAATGAAGGACTATCAGGGCTCAAATCCAAGCAGAATTGTCAGGTGCATTTCTTCCCAAATCTTTACGTATCACTGCAGTGAAATGACCTACATGATCTGAGAAGTGTTTACTATTGCAATCAAATCTAAAAGCATGAGTCTAACAGTGTCGAGTAAATATAGCAAATGGACAGTCTCACACACTGAGACAGCACTAATGGAAGGAAACTGCGAGTGTTTTAATGGGAATGTAAGAAATAGTGTTTCAGTCATTTATATCGATCCACAACATAAGATTGTAGACAAAAGTGTCGTGTAATATTAAAAGGATTTCTGCTGGTTAAATAACATGCTGTCTAGCTCGCTTACGAGGACGAATATGTTAACTGTTCAGCCGTCGCATCCGTTTGTTTGTAAACACTTGTGGTGACGCACTGTTGTGATTCTTAATCGAAAAGCGTCTCTGACAACCAACCGGAAGCATATCAGTATTTCCGTGTTACGGAACAGAGTATATCACAGAGAAAAGGGGGGAGCGTGTACTTGTTAATATTATAATATTCTCCTCAGTCGTTGTTTGTACTTCATAAATGATCTCTCTAGATCTAGATTTTAGACATGGTTTTAGTACTTTTTATAAGTGTATGCACCTCAAGTTAGGGACAGTGATATTTATGTGAGTTTGAACATACTGGTCACCCCTAATAATATACCGTGGTCAGGCAACACACTGTACGCTAGTTTTGACGTGCAACTAAACTAAGCGAAATGAATTACAGAAACAACGAAAGGAAGAAATATCTAATCCATCTAATCTTACAGTTAGCGTCATATTAATCATGCTTTGAGTGTGTTATATATACAGTACTGATGGTCGCTCGATAAAATGTCACTTTATATAGACGAATGGTCAGTGATGACATTTGCCGCGCCGTTGTAGTAAGCGCGAGATCAAACTGTCCAATTCATCATATCAGAGTGATTTCACGGGTTTCAGTTTCAGGTAAGATACCACGTACGCATCTTGTTGTAAAGCAGCTGTCAAATCACAATCTAATTCAGATCCAGTAAATTCAACTTTACTTGCGATTCTTCTGTTCTTAGGTGTTTGTAAACAGCCAATAGCTGTAATATAATTATCATATAATCTGTTTTTTTTTTCACTAGGATGATGGACAACAAATACATCTTTCAAGAATCATTCCCAGAAAAGACAGTTGCTCCATGGCATCAGAAAGCTGATATCTGAAGATCTGATAAGCAGATATATTACTTACTGTAACAACCTTGTAAATGAAGAGTTCTGCTGTTGTACAGTGGCCCCAAAATATTTGGAGAGTTTAATCAGACATAATGTGTTCGACTGTGTTTGCATTAGATACGAAATATCAAACAGAATTTATTAAATAATACTGATAATAACAATAATACACATGAGAACATACATTAAGCGAAATATTTAACAAGCGTGTTGTTTTAAATATTTAAATAGCAGTTAATATACCTATATTATCTACCAATATACCTAAAAGTAATTAGAAAAAGCGTTCAAGTTAATTGTAAGAAAAGGTCTAGCATTATCTGCAGAATTTACTTATTTTGATATATTATAAAATGTAATTCAATATTTTTAACCTCTCAAAAGTGCACTGCTATATAATTCAGTTAATTTCACACAAGCCTCTCTTCCACGACATCAAGCATTTCTTACTGTGCATGTAGAAAATGATAAAGTGTTGGTTATTAGCCCTGAAAAATGACTCTTCCCGAATTGCTTCCCGATGCTACAATGTATTTCGGACCATGTAATTTTGTCCTTGCCCTCAATACCATCTTAATATAGGCACAGATTGCTCTCTCTACTAATTGAAACCCTCATGAGAATAAACTCAACCTCCAAGTTCTTGACCTTTTCCTAAATGATCTCATGGTAAGGCTGAAGACCAGATTAGAAAGGTGACTTTACATGTCCGATAAAATAGATTTTTTTTAACTTCATTTACAGTTCACAATATTTCATTGACACGTGTTTCTATGTTCCAGGATTATAAGGAGGCAACAACTCACCTCATCGCCAAAAAAGCTTTAGCAAGTGAAAAGTTTATTGCAGCCTGTACTTGAGGTCTGTAATATTGAGAGTTGACTGTCATAATCGAGTAGAGAGCATGCAATAAACTAATAACATATAAGCATAAAATAACAAACTGAAATGGTGAATCTGTTTGGTTTCTTTCTGTTTCAGGGAAGTGGATAGTCACTCCAGAGTTTGTTCTGCTCCCAGAGGCTTCATATGAATTAAACTTAACAGCTCAGACTCCTGAAACACCCAATCCACTGAAAACATGGAGAGAGAGAGAGAGAGAGGGTGTCTAATGGCACTGTGTACGGAGCTTTTCAGGTGAACGTCACTATATTGTTAACTCGCTTAGAAAACGACTAAAAGAAATTAAACATGTTTCATTTCCCATCTCCACCTGTAGGACTGGGTACTAGTGCTCATTGACATTGATGATCCAGCGAGGAGAAGTGTGTATGTCAGGTCAGGATGTGCACAGTGACAACTTTGTACAACATGCCTTCAGAAATGTTGTTGATGTAGTTGGAGGCTCATGGTGAAACTGCTAATGGGAATTTTTACAAACCACATTTTGTTTGCAGGATATTAAAAGCAGGCAGAGCTGTTGTCATCACAGACTGGTCGACTTCATATGATGTAACTCACGTGATAACCACAAATACATCCAAAGATAAAGGCGAGAAGTGCAGAATCCCTCACTATAGTGTCAGCTATGTAGCCAAACATCTTTTTGGGGTAAAG